GTATATGTATATTTTTATGGATTCTTTCATTCAACATTATGTTGTGAGGTTCATTTATGTTGCTGCATGCTGCAGTATTTCATTTATTTCCACTCACTCCTATATATTTTATTTTTATTTTTTATTGTTAAAAGTATTACAGATGTCCCCCTTTTTTCCCCATTGACCCCCTCCTTCCCATCCCACTCCCTCCCGCTCTCCCCAACCTCATGTCTGTGTCCACGACTTGTGCACATGTGCACATAAGCTCTTTAGTTGATCTCTCCCCACCCTCCCAGCCCCAGCCCTCTGAGGCTCGTCAGTCTGTTCCCTTCTTCCATGACCCTGGATCTCTTTTGGTCGACAGCTTAATTTGTTCATTATGTTCCATAAATAAGTGAGATCATGGAGATCATGTGGTACTTGTCTTTCTCTGACTGGCTTATTTCACTTAGCATAATACTCTCCAAGCAGAAATGAAGAATGGCATAGCTATTTCTTTTTCTTAATATACTATACTTTTCACAGATATTCTATTGTTTTGACATTGGTTTAGTTCCATGTTGTAGCTCACATGACTAGTGTTGTCATGAAAAACCTTTTATATGTGCTTTGGTGACAAGTCAGGATAGTAGTTTTGTTAAAAGAGGGGAGAAGGGAGTGATTGAGAAGAGATACAATGAGGGTTCTTGGGGTGCTTTCTAACATTCCCCCTGTGTGGTGGTTACATATGTGTGTCCACCTTTTTGATTATTCATTACGTTTTCCATTTATAATCTGTGAATACAGAATTCTGTATATTTCATTTAAAGTTTTTTATATTACTAAGAATAAGACAGTGGTACAAATAGAGGGGGAAAGGCCAGAGAGTCTGGTAAATACCCTTTAATGCCAATATTCATGTGAAAGATAAATGTTTATATTCATTTGTATCAAAGACAAGCATATTAAAACAAAAAAATGCATTTTTATACATTTTTGTCAGTAATACCCAATGTTTCTGAGATGCAAAGGAAAATGTCTACTCTTAATGAAGAAATGAATAGGTACAACTTTTCTAGAAGTTCATTTGGCAATATATATATATCAAAAGTCTTTAAAATATGTATTATGGCTACATATCAATTATATCTCAGTAAAACTGGAAATGTATTATGCTTAAAAGTTTATCTTATGAATAAAATCACACAAATGTGTAAAATTATATGTTTGTGAGAGAAATAATCTGTATATAAGAATCGTCTTTATGGAACTGCTTATAATGGTGAAAAACTGAAAACAAAATTTCAGTAGGTAATTACATAAATAATGGTATATCCATTCAGGAGAATGTATGTAGCCATATTTAAAGACATGAAAAAATGTTCCTAATTCATTAAGTTAAAACAAGTAATAAAAACAGAAAAATGATACATTTGTAAGAAAAGAATTAAATTTGCACAGAAACAAAATGTCGAGCATAGAAGCCAAAATGTTAACTTTTGCAGTGAAGGCCAGGGAGGGGCAGTATGGAGGGGGTCGATGGGGGAAAAGGGGAGGCCCTCTGTAATGCTTTCAACAATAAAGGTAAAATTTTTTTAAATGTTAATTTTTGTTATATTTGAGTAGTTTTTTGTTGTTGTTTATATTTGCTTTTACTGTGGTTTTTTTGTTTTGTTTTGTTTTAGGTCTATTTTCTAAGCTTTCTATAGGAATATGTATAACAATTTTAAAAATTAGGGTTTTTCACATAAACAAGTTTATCAATGAATGAGAAATTTAAAATATTAGAGAAAAATCACCTAATAATATCAGAGGTAATGGCTGCTCTTAGCATCTAGTATAGTGTGTGTGTGTGTGTGTGTGTGTGTGTGTGTGTATTTTCACAGTATGCCTCGTATGATTTCTAAATTGGTTTTTATAAGCATGTCTGAATTTCATAAGCTCCATGCAGTTTGGATCAAGAAGACAACCTCAGGCAACATTTCATAGAGCAAATCTTCCTTTGGAAGAAGGATATGCTTTCTAATTCGTATCTTACTCTAGCGATTAGAAAACAGATGAGCAAATTTCACTTAAAGGATTTTTTTAAAGCTACTATTGCTTGAAGTATAATTTTATTCTCTACTTTCGAGAAATAACCTCTTAAGAAAACAAAAAGTGGATATGATTTCAGATTCTCAGACAGAGACAGCTTTTCAAAGCTCTGCCCCTCTGAACAGAATACATAGAACAATGCAATATATGCAAAGTATGAAAAAAACGTGAATCGTTAGTATTTAAGGATCACGGTCATCCAAAGTCATATACTGAGAATTAAGAAATAGTTTTCCACTTTCACTTGGCTTCACAGGAGTCTTGTTAATAAACATTTCCCACTTGTACTAGACAAGTAATGATTTCCTCCAGGTCAGTAAACTGCCAACATTGATTGCATTCACTTACAATAAGTATAACCATAGCAAACCCATTCTCACACACAGATTCTCCTTTCAAAGCTGATTTACAGTCATTGTTCCCTCTCCTTTTCTGAGAAAAGGGATTAACATAGCCAAAATGTGCCTTTAACCCCTGCCTGGGAGCCTCCCTCTAAGGAGGCCCCTAGGATACACTACGAAGTATTTTTGAGCAGCCATCCATACCAGTTTACCCAGACTGTTCTGATTTATAACCTGTGTCCCTACAATAGTTTTTAATAGCAGCTCCTTGCACTCCCCAGTGTCCCAGGTTGAGTGACACATTAGTCACCCCACCATCCATAGACAGTATGCACAATGCTGGGCCTGGAACCTGAGATAAACTCCAGATGCCATTTCCATTCTTGCTGCATCTTCCTTGTGCACTGACCGTCTGGAATGAAAAACCACCCAGAATAATCATGGACTCAAATCCCCCCAAAAGTGTTCTAAAGCAAGCTGAGTAGAAAACTGTTTTAAGATGGACCTATCCTCCTATGAAGTTCAAAAACTAGAAAAGACAAATTACTAGATAACCCAAATCATATAGCATACGAATAAGGTAATTATTTGGAGGAATTAGCCAGTCTATGGATACTTGTTTGAGTTGTACCCCTCTAGTTATTAATCTAAAAAATCCAATGGAATGGAAGTAGATCCAAATTTCCTCTAGGCCTAGACATTTCTATCTATGCTGATGGCAACACTATTCACCCAGTCATCTCAGCTAGAAACCGTAGGCTCAGATTTGATTCTCTCTCTTCACTCTGTCAAATTAGTTGCTAAGTCCCACTGACTATTTTTCAAGTCTCTGGAATTCATTACTCACAAACCTTTCATCAGAAGACTATTTCCAATTCTCGATAGTTAGAGTAGCCTTCCTCGACTTCCTATTCTTCTCCAACTCATCTCCCTCACTTCTGCCAGAATTACCTTAAATGAAGCAATTTCTTTAGTCCACTGCCTGCTCAGAACCCTCGGGTAATATCCATGTCTCTTCGCATGACCTTCATCAGTTGCACTGAAGCCTCCCTTGACATCCCAGATTCCAACCACATTCCCATTAAGCACATACTGCTCAATGGTTCTCATCCAGAGATGGAACTGCTCTCCTAGGAGGTGTTTGGAAATGTTTGACATTTTTGCTTGTCACAGTGATTTGAGGGCACAAAAGACATTTAAAGAGCCGGGATTGAGAACAATAAAGGTCCAGCAACGTAGGACAAGATGCCTTGCCAAAATGCCAACAGCACACCAAGTGAGACTTGTTCCCCAGACACATTATTTTTACACGTGTGGTTCCTTCTTTCTAGAATATATTTAACCTTCCTCCACTAGTTCTGCCTCCTTCCAAAACAAAATTGTAGGTGGATAATACAATTCAAACTCTCTTCTTATCCGAAGACCTCAACTGATTTAATAGTCATATACACAGTGTGTTAATGGGAGATAATTAAATCACTCTATTACATAGTGGCTGCCTGCTGATTAGCACTTAGTGTATTAAATTACAACTAATCTTCTTACCCACCTGTTATTTTGCTCCCTGTTCCTCTTTTCCTTGTCCTTTCTATTCCTTAAAATTTGAGCTACTTAAAGAAATACATGTTCCTTTAGCATCTCATTGATTTTTCTAAACTCTAATTTCTACTGTTTTTGTAGTAGTCTATGAAAATTATTTTTTGGATTAAAAGATGAAATTGCCCAGCTGGTGTGGCTCAGTGGATTGAGCATCGTCCATGAACTGAGAGGTCTGGGTTTGATCCCTGGTCAGAGCACATGCCTGGGTTTCAGGCTTGATCCCCAGTGTGGGGCAAGCAGGAGGCAACCGATTGATGATCTCTCTCTCATTGATGTTTCTATCTCTCTCCCCCTTTCTCTCTCTAAAAAAAAAGAAAATCAATAAAAATGTATTTTTTACAAAAGATGAAATGTTGTACCTGCATTCTTATGTATGTATGTAAGAATGCCATTCTTTAATACGTTTATGTAGTTGTTAAACTTAGAACTCAGACTATTTTGAAGTAAATTAAATATTTTAGTTACATCTTTTATCAGTAATGGTGTTTTACAAAACTCTAAACTGAATGTATTAGACTAAGGTATTACAAACTCAGGTAAAAGAGGAAACATAAGCTACAAATACTGTGGTAAACTGGAGAAAATGTTCCCAGCGAGACGGTATTTAGCCCTGGATGGTTAGAGTTGGCCTGCAGACCAGAGTCCGGGGTGGTTTCCTGCTAAGGGCATGTACCTTGGTTGCAGTTTGTCCCCACCCTAGTTGGGGTCTTGTGGGTAGGAACCAGTTGATGTGTCTCTCTCACATGGATGTTTCTCTCTCTTTCTTCCCCCTCTCTCCCTCTCACTCCATCTGAAGATAAATGCAAAAATGTCCTCGGGTGAGGATAAAAAAAAAAAGGTATTTAAATTCCTTTCTTATGTAAGGGCTGAGTATGCCTTACAAAGTTCTGTAACATATTATAGATATGTTATAGATATACCCATTTTTTTAGTCAAGAATTTCAACTTAGCTCCCCCTAAGTTGCATAAACAGTACAATCGGGTAGATGGAAGCCAGCTGCTCACGTGCACATCTGTTCATGTCTGGGGCGCGGTGTCCATAGTAGCCCGATGGGCAGGAATGCAGGCACTCCCCATACTGGCGCATGCCTTCTCGTCGAAGAAAGAAGAACAACTTCTGCTGACATCGGCTGCACCCATTGTCCTTTGAACAAGACAAGCAACCCTTGCAAATGGGATTTGATACATAACTAGCTGTAAAGGAAAAAAAAAACAAAACATGTTTAAATATGAAGGTGATCATACTTCTGGTCAATACAACATGCTGTGATGACAAGTATCTCTTGTTCTTTTATTTTCATCACACAGGAAATCCAAACAAGAAATCCATTGCAAACCCCAAGAAAAATGATTAATACACAGCCAAATTTAGAAACAAAGAAGACACTCGGAGTCAGAGTTGAGGCCGGAAGCTCCAACAGAATGGCTCATGGAGACTTAGACCAGACAGACGTAGACCTCATGGCAGCATCCTGAGTCCAGACCAAGAAATGTGTATATAAAGAGCTGTAGTTGTAAGGGCTGTCTGTCCACACAACCAGACTAGACGCTCCCACTCCAACTGGCCAGAGAAGAAGAGTCAATCCTGGATTAGGGGCATTAAAAGGGTGAAAAGAGGGGAGAGAAAATGTAATCAAGACATCCAAGAGTGGGATTCAAGCCTAAACGATCGATGTAGTAAGGAGTCCCTAAGTCAAGCGGTTAACATGAAAACATCACAATCCAGGAAAACCCACCAAGAAAAAAAAATCTGAAACTACCCTAAGTTTTTACAATCCTGGGACCTGGGACTTTCATGAAAAACTACCTTCCCATCAAAATGAACAAGTCACACATGCAGGCAAACCGCTGTGAGGTAGTCATCAGTCTCAGTGAGAGAGAGATTTCATACTAGAGTCAGAAATAACAGAACAATCTAAAAGAGACATTTAACATTTTTTATTTATTGATTTGAGAGAGAAAGAAATACTGATTTGTTTTTCCATTTATTTATGCATTCGTTGGTTGATTCTCATATGTGCCCTGACTCGAGGTGGAACCGCAACCTTGGCGTATCAGGATGATGCTCTAACCAACTGAGTTACCTGGCCAGGGCTAAAATGAGACTTTTAAATGAGTATCTTTAGAATTTGAAGAGATAAAATAAGGACTAGAAGTCACATGAAAAGAATATCATAAAAATAATGTGCAAACATTAGGAAGAAATGGAAATTCTAAAACTGACAAGTTGTATGGTAGACTTAGAGAGAGGGAGTTAACTGGAAAACAGGTTTAAAGAACTGAAGCACAAAACAAAAGATAATAATGTAAAAAGGATAAGCAGCATGAAAAAAAGTTCCAGTACATGATTGTTAGGTGTCACAGAATCAAATCAAGAGAATGACTAAGATGTAATGTTCAAAGTGATCATGGTGAATTCATTTCCAGAATTAAAGAAAGACATGAATTCTTCAATGAAAAATTCAGAGACCTGAGCCGATCAGTAAAAATAAGTCAGCATCTGAACACAGCATATTTATAACTAAAGAAGGAAGTCAAATGAGAGGGGAATAGCAGATTGCCTAGAGAGGAATAAAAATCTGAGGAAAAAAAAAAGCAGACTTCTTATCAGAAATAATGTGAGGTAGATAGTGGGATATTATTATCTTCAACATGCTGGGGAAGAATGATCAAATTCTAGTTCCATAAGCAATTAAATGATAGTTGAAAGATTAGGGGGAAATAAAGATTTTCCACCAAAATAAAGGCAAAGAACTTACCAATCAGAATCACTCACTAAAAGAACGAATAGACTGCCCAGCTGATGTGGCTCAGTGGACTGAGCATCAGTCCCATAGACTGACGGGTCCTGGTTCAATTCCCGGTCAGGGCACATGTCCTGGATAGCAGGTTTGATCCCCAGCGGGGGGTGTGCAGGAGGCAGCTGATCAATGTTTCTCACATCAATGTTTCTCTCTCTCTCTCCCTTCCTCTGTCTCTAAAAAATCAATAATAACTATTTTTTTAAAAGAACTAGTAGATTATATGTACTGGGGAAAATAAAATGGAACCCAGAAGGAAGTAAAATGTAATAAGCAATTATGACCAAACCACTTGAGAAATATGGTGGTGTATCTATATAAGTATACACTTTAAAAAATGATTAATTTTCAGGGTTTACAAATAAAACATATTTTATATTCAACAGCAATAACATGGAAGACTTGAGGGAAGCCAAAGTTAAAGCATTCAAAGTTTCTGTATTATGAGTGAGGAAGGAAGACCAGCATAAATTAAACTTTGTTAGATTAAATGTACTTGCTAATACTCTAGATACCAACTACAAAAAGTACTATAGAACTTCTAACTTCTAAACCAGTGACAGCTACAGATATAGTAAATGTATAAAATATGTGTAGGAGGTAACAATCCAAACATCCGTGAACAGAAAAATGGATAAATTGTGGTACGTTCATAATATGAATTTTAATGACATAAAGGATTAAACTGTCAGTACAGACACTAACATAAATGAAATTCATATACATTTTGTGGAGCACAAGAAGCCAGGCCAAAAAATAATAGTAATAAGTGCATGTTCTAATGATTCTATTTATATTGATGTCAAGGATGCATGGAGCGAATCCATGATGACAGAAATTAGAACACGAAATGCCTCTGAGGACTGAAGACCGACTGGAAAGGAGTATGATGGAATTTTTGGCAGGTTGTGGCTTAAACAACAGGAATTTATTCTCTCGGTTCTGTAGACGAGGTGTCTGAAATCAAGGTGTCAGCAGGGCAGGTGCGTCTGAGAGCCCTAGAAAGCAGGATGCCGGGCTGTGCCGGTGGCCCCAGGGTTCCTTGGCTCGTGGACGCGTAACTAACCTCTGCCTCCATGTTCACATGGCCACCTTCTCAACGTAAGTCTGCGTGTCCTTCTCTGTTACTTATAAAGACATTCTCACCTTAATCCAGTATGATCTTATATTCATCCTCACCTTAATTATATTTGCAAAGCCACTATCTTCAAATAAGGTCATATTCTGAGGTTCCAGAATGAATGTGGGGGTTGGGGGGAAACCATTTACCCACTAGAGGAGGTAATGGAAATGTTCTAATCTTGATTGGATGCTGGTTAAATATATGTATATATTTTCAAAACTCATCAAACTGCATTTAAGACCTGTGATTTTTATAATGTGTATAATTTAAGTAAATTATAATACAATATATTATATACAATAACTTCAGCATAACATAGTTACTTATAATCACATCATTTCTGAAGATTCATAAACTATACCATGATATTCTTTACTTTTATTTTTGTAATAAAAAAGAACAGAAATGTCCTATTGGAGGACAATGTGTATAGTACTAAATAAACGTTGAAATAGCATCTGAAAATTGATATATGAGCTTTATGAAGTTTACTACATCTAGTAATAAAAAAGTATAACTTAAAAGTAGGAAAATGCTGTTTCTAGTCCTGGTATAAAATTCAGAAATGATAAAATCTGAAATCCCAGTATAATTTCTAAAATATAAAAAATATATAATTTTTAGTTATTACTATACCAAGCAAGGTCATACATATAACAGATATATAACGTGACACTGACTTCATTTTATTGGGTTAACACACAAAAGAAAGAAATGAGAGAAGGAATCAAATCATTTACTTATAAAAACTCAACATCCAATATATAGGGTGTCCCCCCAAATATGTATACACAACTTTGAATAATTATAAAGCCAGTGTTTATTAAAATACATTTCATGCCCTGGACAGTTTGCTCAGTGGTAAGAGCATCGGCTCACAGACCAAAGGGTAATAGGTTTGATTCCTGTTTGATTTCTGGTCGAGGGCATGTACCTTGGTTACAAGTTTGATCCCTGGCCCTGGTGGGGGTCATGTGGGAGGCAACCAATCGATATGTGTCTCTCATATTGATGTTTCTCTCTCTCTCTCTCTCTCTCCCTCCCTCCCTCCCTCTCCCTTCCTCCCTCCTTCCACTCTATCTGAAAATCAATGGAAAAATATCCTCGGGTGAAGATTAACAACAAATAAAATAAAATAAAAATATATTTCATTTTCAAAGTACAATAGAATCTACAGACACCCTATATACATTTTGGGGGGACACTGTATTTACAGCTGCTTGTAGTAGGTCCATATAGATTTCAGGTCCACAAGACACTCTCCCCATCTTGATCCTGATTGGATCTTGCATCTGTCTTTCATGGAGATCCCCAAACCAGACTTAGTCTCCCTTTCAGGGAAGGGACCAAAGAAGGCACTCAGGTCCAGGATCGGGGCCATTAACATATATATTTTTAAATTTTTTAAATTTAATTTTTAATTACAGTTTACATTCAATATTATTTTGTATTAGTTTCAGGTGTACAGCATAGTGATTAAGTAATCATACACTTTACAAAGTGATCCCCTAGATATTTCAAACACTCACCTGAGGACCAGGCAAAGGAGGGGAAAATGGGTTTGGAAAGTGAGTTTGCTTGGGGTGAGGGGCACATGATGCGGTGTGCAGATGATGTTTCATTGAGTTGTACACTTGAAACCTGTGTGGTTTTGCGAACTAGTGTCACCCCAATAAATTCAATTTAAAACATTTTTGAATTGGCCATTGAGATCTACTTCTATTTCAAAACTTTGTTCTATCAATTTATCTGCATATTGAATCTATTTCATGTACATTTTCTTGCTTGAAAGCCTATCTATCCTTCCCAAATTATTTCTTATTTACTATATTTTAAAAATCTGTCATACTGGAAGGAAAAATAATCAATTTACATGAAAAATTATCTCCTCAGCAATAATTCCTAATAAAATCTGGCAAACTTTCCATATATCCCTTTATGGAAGTGTGCATATATGTGTAATTTGTATTTTTCATAACTGTGATCATACTTTGCATGCAGTATCATAACTTGCCCAATTTCAGTTCAGTTGTGAGCATCTTTTCATAGTGATGAACCACATCAATATCCCCCTGATATTTGTTAAAGAGTCAGTTTTATCGGCTGCCTCTACTTTCCACCACCATCCATTCAATTATCCCCAACACTGCATTTACAAAGACCACAACCGCTTTCCTAATCTTCAGTAAAACCCCATTCTCAGTTCCTGGTCCTCACAACTTTGGGAGCCTGAGTCACTGCTGCTAGTTTTCCTACTCCTCCTACAGACT